TTATCTGAAGGTCAGAGGAAAAAGCCAGCTACTATATTAAACACAGAGGTCAGGCAATGGTAGCACATGCCCTTTATCCTAGCATTGGGAGGGCAGAGATCCATTCAGATCTCTGTGAGTTCAAGGTCACATTGGGAATAGACCCAGGTGTGATGGCATACACCTTTAATCCCAGTACTAACCATAAAGGTCTGGAGGTCTGTACAGACAGACAGGGAGTGATGTAGCTGGGCAGAGAGAGGAAGTGAGGTTCAGAACAGAAAGGCATATAGGCATGGGTATACAGGAAGTAAGTCTCTTTGGAGGCTGAGGAGTTGGTGAGGTGAGGTTGGCTATGTCTTGTCCTATTTCTCTGATCTCTCGGCCTCACCCCAATATCTGGCTCTGGGTTTTTTGTTAATAAGACCATTAGCAATGCGTCTTTCAGATGTCTGAAAGATAGGTTAAGCCTACACCTTTGTCCATAACTGCAGCCAAGATGTCTCTGATCATCTGCCCAAACTGGAGCCTGAAAGACAAAACTGAATGTGGTTTTCAAATCCAGTGGTTCCCAGGCCATAGGAAGTTTTCATTGTCCCGGGGTTTGACTGACATCCTTTTGACTAATCAAGTTGAGCAGTTAATTGCAGAAGGATGCCTGGGTGCTTCCTGTCTGCACAAGATAAAGAAGCTTTCTAATCATGCAAATGTGTGAGGCATTCGGCAATTAAACAAACTGTTCACACTCTGGTAGCATTTCAAAAAGAGTGTTTTATGAAGAGTTTGTTCTAGAATCTGATGTCAGGCTGTCTACATCTTTTTTGTTGTTGTTGTTTTTTGTTTTGTTTTGTTTTGTTTTTCGAGACAGGGTTTCTCTGTGTAGCTTTGCGCCTTTCCTGGAACTCACTTTGTAGACCAGGCTGGCCTCAAACTCAGAGATCTGCCTGCCTCTGCCTCCTAAGTGCTGGGATTAAAGGCGTGCACCACCACCACCACCACCACCACCACCACCACCACCACCACCACCACCACCACCACCACCGCCGCCGCCCAGAGTCAAGTTACATCTTAAAATTCTTCTGTAATTTTATTCTTACCTCGCTGCAACAGTGATATTAATTTACTATGGATTTTGTTTTGGTTCTGTTTTTTTGAGTCAGGGTTTCTCTATTTAGCCCTGTAGGCCAGCCTGGCCTCAAACTCATAGATCTATTTCTACATCTCAAGTGAATGCTGGAATTAAAGGAATACACCATCACTGCCAGCTTTATTACAGATTTTTTTTTTTAAATACAGAAAAACTTTTCAAAGGGGAGATTTTAAGTCATTGGGTTAAAAAAAAAGTATAACTTTTAAACATCAGGAATTTTCAGATCCTTTAATCTATTTGTAATTAGCAATGCCTTTTCCTCCATCATGGCTTTGTAGTCCCTATGAATACAGCTTGGGAAATTCTGTCAAAAGGAGGGGGCAACATTTAGCATATAATTTCATACTCAGCTTCTAATTAATATTTGTAAATCCTTTCTTGGGAATTTTTTTTGTCAGTGGGGTACTGCCTGAGAGAGACAGACAGTTGGAATTCACTCCACTAACCCACCCATCAGGGGTGAGAAATAAGTTGGAGACAGAGGTAGTTAGGTAGATAGATGGCCAACATTACTTCTTCCATAATTGGCCCCAACACACACAATCTTTGCAAATAAACATCTCACGGTGTGATGGTAAATTTTATGTGCCACCCTGTTGGGGCCAAGAGTGACAGAGAGCTGGTTTAACATCATCTGGGGATATATTTATGTGGGTGCTTCTGGGAAAGCTTGTCTTTTGAAGTAGGTGGTCTTCCCCAAGGTGGAGGGGATCATCCGATCTGTGAAGGCACCAAGAAAACACAAAGGTACAGTTTGCTTCCTGCCTGAGGTGAACGCAGATCTTCTGCCCCAGCTCACGTAGTTCTCAAGCCTCTGGGTCCAGACTGGAGTCGGAATCCTCAGCACTTCACGTCTGGCTTCGAGCCTCACCACCAGCCTTCCTGCACTTGGCCTGTATGTGTGCACCTCTTAGCCTCCACAGTGGCGCGCTGTGACTTGGCTCCTATGACTCCATTTCTCTGAAGAACTTGGATTAACGCACATGTATTCCTCTAGTGTGTACTACTTTATCTGGATCACCTAGCCTTCATTCTCTCCTTTCCAAAGCCCATTTAGAAACACAGTTGGCTCAGCTCTGAATGGACAGCACTTTATTGGGCTTACATGGGACAGGCTAATAGTCTTCCTGGCATGTACGCCTGGTCCTCTACACCTGCTTCTCTTGAGAGTTCAACATAAAACAGATCTTTTTTCTTGTTCTTTCCCATAACACAATGGAATGTCTTTCAGACATTGTCCTGAGGTCTCCGGCAGATTATTTTCACCCACATTTCCCTTACCTTCTTAACTCTGAAAGGTGTCTTTGCTTTAAAACATGGGCCAGCGATTCTGGTGACCTAGCACGAAGAGGCATAATTGTCCCCAGCCTGAGGCCACATCTGTTATATTGCCCGTATGTACCTGATACCGGCAAGCACTTTTACGTGGGTGCTTGCTTACCCCTTACCAAACCAAATCAAAACAGACAAAATGAAATGTTTACCAACTCTTTCTACATCCCTTTTCTGTGGGCCAGGAAGCCTCCTAAGCTTGCCAACTTCCAAATATCCACAGCAATGCAACAAGATGCTAACCTCGGGCTTTCTGACCCCCAAGCCCATGCTTCTTTCCAGATTTTCTCCCTGAACCAGGTGCATCACCATGCTGGGACCTTGTTTTGGGTACAGAAGCAGAAACCACGAGGGTAGGGCCAGCACTGTGTTCAATAACGAATGACTAAGGTGATACCATCCTGTTCTGACTCCATTTTGTGTTTGCATAGACAGTTCTCAGGCCCTCTTACCCTCCCCTAAAACTCACATCTGCCTCGGCAACATCTTTGAGATATCCATGGCCTTGATGATAGCCCATGTGTATAACCCAAATAATTGGGAAGTTATGTCTAAAATAACTGCTACGCTCTGCCAGGAATAAATATTTCAAGGTTACTCCAACCCTAACTTTGATGTATCTTTGTGGGTTTTTCCTTTAAAAATACTGTATCCCTGAACTTGGTCCCCAAGTTCAAGTGAGTTTTTGGAGGCTGAAGCCGCTCTTGGTCTGGCCATCAATAAAAAGGAATTGATTTTTTGTTTTTGTTTTGTTGAGACAGGGTTTCTCTGTTGTTTTGGTGCCTGTCCTGGATCTCACTCTGTACATCAGGCTGGCCTTGAACTCGCAGAGATCCGCCTACCTCTGCCTCCTGAGTGCTGGAATTAAAGGCATGCGACACCACGCCCTGCAGGAATTGAAAATTTTAATTGGCTTAATCAGCATGGGTTGTCAACAATTATCTCACGTGGATCATTACAATAATAAGTCCTTTCAGTGATATTAATGGGTACTAATTTTTTTTTTTAAAATCCTGTCTGGAAACCACACAGGAAAACTTTAGGTCAAATAGGTATAATTTTCTGGCAGAATTGTTAACACAGGTGTGATCTGTTTCAAAAAGATGGATTTGTTGTCCTTGACCTGGAGTACTTTTTTTGGCTTTGATGGACAGGAGGGTCCTATGTTCCTAGGTCCTTCCAACTTTGAGTGAAGAGTACCATTAAATCTTAGGCTAAGCAACAACATTTGAAAAATCAAAATAAGTCTCGACACTTATAATTTAACCCAATAGGCTGGAGAGCTGGCTCAGTGGTTAAGAGCACATACTGCTCTTCCAGAGGACCAGAGTTCAATTCCTAATATCCACATGAGGTGGCCCACAGCCTGTAACTTCAACTTCAGAAGACCCAATTCCTCTGGCCTCCGAGGTCACTTGCACACACATGTACATACTCACACACACACACACACACAAGGTACATAATTAAAAATAATGAAAATAAATCTTAAAACATTGGAACCTCACAAAGAACAGGTTATCCCCTGCACAGATGCTGGAGGACAATCAGAGTGGGCTGGGTATCACTGTTGCTCTCTCTTCCCATCGCCCACTGCAGGGACATGCCATATATTAGCAGGTTTTTTCACAACAGACTCATTCAGATTCCCCTGTCAGACAAATCCCACCTGTGAGCACGGCTGTCTACACCACATAACACCACATAGATCAAGAGCTGGGAGAGGCCAGAGTCATGAACATCATAGCTTTCCATAAAAGTTAATTAATGACAGAAGCATATTGCCAGGAATGGCAGCACAACCCTTATTTATGGTTCAGGAAACTCCAAATGTAGGGACTTCCCTTCTCTTTCCCCCCGACCCCGGCAATACCCATGGGGAGCTTACCCAGCCCATTCCAGTAACTCAGTGAGTCATTTGCCAAGTCAGCAAGGAAACAGCGTGGATGACATAAAAATTAATACCACAGCTGAATATCCAACGTTCATCTCAAGGGAAATGGACCACCCCATGGATGCTGCTCTGTTCTCCCCTGTCCCTGTATCTGAACACTTTTACACCTCACATTTTTACTGTTGTTAACAGTTTCAACCCTCCACCTTGAGTCCCCCAAGGAACCCTTGTTGCTGAAAGAGCTTGTAGAAGGCCCCCCCCCCACCTTCCCCTGCAGAGCCCCACACACAGGCTTGGCCAATTACTAGGGTAACAGCTCTTCAGTAACACATAGTTTGCATTTCAGGGAGGCCATGAAGCTTAGGGGCCGAAAGGGTACAGCTGGGTTCAAGTTCTGGTAAGGTATTCTAAGCATCTCCGTCCACTCACCATCTCGATACTAATAATTACCTTGAGGCTGCCATGGTGTTTGACGTCACACAGTGCGCGCACTTCGGCCCCTGGTGCTCACTAAGAGCAAAGTGAGTGTTAACGGTATTGTGGCTTCTGTTTCCGTCCTTGTTCCCTCTGAGTGCCAGGTACCCCCACACAGCTGAGGTCAAGCCCAGGCTAGTACCCTGACACGTTCTCTGTTCCACTCCCCAGACAGACTTGAGGAGGTGGCCGGATGGTGAGTGCAAACTTGAACTCGTGTACGGATCAGTGTGTCTTTGGCTTATTCCTTCTAAAGACATTCACAACCACTTCCACGTCTCAAGAAGAGGAAGAAAACTGCCCCGGGCGCGGGAGCAGGAAGCGGGATACGCTTTTACGATTTCCACGTGTGGCTTGAGTTTTCGTCTCGCTTCCACCCTAAGTAAACCGGTGACGCCTTCTCAGAGCTCAGCTTTTATTTCTTTGTTTGAAAAGGACCTAATAACAACCCCCTACCTCTTTCTCTCACAGCGCTCGGAATCGTGATAGGTGACGGATATCGAAGCCCCCACTTTAAAGCAGAAATCCCCCCCCACACACACACACACAAACATACATGACAAGGATGCTTTGGTTGCCTGGGAACAGAAGCAGCAGTAGCGGCTGCCCCTCCGTGCTCCTACAAATTATGAGAAAAATGACCATGGTGCTGAGACGTTATCCTGCTTGTGTAAATGAACAGTCATCTCAGCAGTAATTTGTTAAATAGAGAAACAGAAATCCTTTGTGAAGACAGGGGGTTTTATAAATGTTTGATTTGACCCAATCCGCTGTAGTCCTTACGGCTACCCAGCCTCCCCCTACCGCTGGCTTTAATTGCATGTCACTGCTAACTTCCTTGTAAAGAGACAGGCCTCTGCCATTCCTTCTAATTATCCAAATCACCAGCCACTGTGTGTGGCCTTACCTAAGGCTTTTAACCAGAAGTAATGTCACTAAATCAAAGTGAGTGGGAGGTGTCCCTGCCGCAATGACTAATAAATGTTACATGACATTCTTTAAGCCCGTTGAAGCTACTCTCTCTGCGAGCCCGAGTCTAACGCGATAACTCATCAGTTACGAATATCAGAACCACAAGCCCGTATGCATACCACCTTTCATTGAAGAAACACAGTGCGGAAGAGGAGACCTCACCCCCAGCCCCAGCTGTGAGAGCGCGTTTTGAAATTCAACGTAACTATGTATCTGTTTCTAAAGAAAGCTACATCAAACCCAGCTGCTAGCACACAGGTTGGGAAAAACATCTTCATATACATTATGCAATGTAACCTGTGTATTCCCGTTTATGGTTACTGTGGCCCCAGTACAGTTTGGAACACCAAGGCCTCATGAAGGTAAGTAATTTGTGCTACACAGCTCTAAAGACAAGCAGAGCGGGCCCGAGGAGAAGCAAGGCGCAGAGGAGGCCGGGGCATACCTGTCTGATTCTCTATGTGTACAGTTACTTGAATATCAAGAACATACTATGTGCATTTTGAATATTTGGAGCCGCATAAGAAGCTGCTAAAATACAATAAATAACTTGTCTTGTGAAAAGTGAGTCCCTTCTCTAGTGTTTCCACAACTTTACATTTGTAGGACGGAAACAGGAAGAACTTGTGCTTTTTGGGTACTTAAAATGTTTGGATCAGTTTTGAAATAGAAATATTTAAGAGTACGAACACCAGGTCGCAAGCTTTCTTGTGGTGAATCTGGCGTTTGAACGTGCATCAGGTTATAAACCATGATGGACAATTGTAATGGTTTCGATGAGAAATGTCCCCCATAGGCTCTTGGGCCTCAGTTGGTGGTGCCGTCTGGGAGGTTACAGAGCCTTTAGGAGGTGGAGCTTTGCTAGAGGGAGTATGTCACACGTATGTCATACACACACAAAGATGCACAGACATACAATACATACATGTCACATGCATACATACACATAAATACAAATTATTTTTTAATATATTCTATTTATTTACTTGTGTATACATTTATCTGTGTAAGGGTGTCAGATTCCCTGCAAGTGGATTACAGACCGTTGTGAGCTGGCATGTGGGTGCTGGGAATTGAACCCAGGTTTTCTGGAAGAGCAGCCAGTGCTCTTAACCACTGCACCATCTCTCCAGTCCCCATAAATACAAATTCTTTAACAAATATTTTTAAAAGGAGCAATAACTCAACAATGTCAGCATTTCTTTAGTGGTTACTTTTACCGAATATTGTCATTTATTTTTCAAATGCACACATTCAGACGGGAAAATGGGTGCAGGAAGTGGAAGGGTTGGGAGCCCAGTGTGAGGGTCTGCCTCCAGAGACCGCACTGCTTTCCCTGAGGAAGAAGAAGTCTAAGGTAGTCCTCACATCGCCCAGGGCCCCTTGCCACCCAAAGGAAAGGGGTCAGATACAGAGGGAACCAGGGATGGTCAGAAGGAACAGCAAAGGTCAAGGACATAGCAAAAAGGAATCCAAACGCATTGTGGGAGCCTTGGTGTCCCCTGCTAGGTAAGTTTTTGGGTCAATTTAACACAAGCTGGAGTCATCAGAGAAAAGGCGACCTCAATTGAAAAAAATGCCTCCTTCAGCTTGTCCTGTAGGCAAGTGTCTAGGACATTTTCTTGATTCATGAGTGATGTGAGAGGGTCCAGTTCACTGTGAGTAGTGCCACCACTGGCCATTGTATAAGCAAGCAGGCTGAGTAAGCCATGGAGAACAAGCCAGTAAGCAGCACCCCTCCATGGCCTCTGCTTCAGCTCCTGCCTTGAGTTCCTGCCCTGACTTCCCTGATGATGGACTGTAACCTTGGAGCTGTAAAGTGAATACTCCCTTTCCTCCTCAACTTGTTTTTGGTCATGATGTTTATTGTGGTAATAGAAAGCAAATTAAGAGAGTCAGTCTTCTTGTGTTCCTGAAGGGCACACTGGAAGGTCACAAGGACCTGCAGAGTGTCCTCCAGATGATGGCCTACAAACTGGAGGGTCATGCTTGTTCCCTGTTTCATTTTTTTTTATTTATTAAAAATCAAGCATGAGTTTATCCACATCTATTAAGTCCTGGATGGTTTGTTTGGAGTGACGGGAAGCTATTTTTCAATAGAGAGGCAGTCTACAACCTAAAAGAGGCTTGGTCTTCAATGAACTAAATGATATTTTTATGAAAGCTCAGAAGTGAAAAAGTAACTCATTGGCAGAGGGTTTATGTGGTCCTGGTTCAAGCCCTAGCATCCCAGGGAAAAACAGTAAATAAATAAATAGAAGTTTTGCCTGTTGAGCAAGAGAGCATTTGTCGAGTTGCAGCAGCAGTTTACTGTGGGCCTTCCCATATTCTCAACGGCCTTTTATTTGAAAGATAGCGGCCCTCATAGATGCGGGAGAAAACCCAAGGGGAAGTGCTCAATCAAAGCCTGGTGATGCTCTAGCATGCTGCAGTGAGTTTCTTTTTCTCGTTTTCTTCTGGCCATTTCCCACCCTTGATTAGTAATTTTACACCCAAATAGTAAAGTATGAAATACTCCCTAATACTGCCACAGTGGTAAAAAGAGTTCAGTTTTTATGACCTGTCTCCAGAGATAGATCTTTAGCAGTATGTGGTGAGGTTAATTCAGTGTGAAACAGTGTAATACCTTTCTTATTTCTGTTCATTCATTTAGAAATTATGGGACAAATTCTAGCAAAAGCTTCGCCTCATAGGACAGAGACTTGTTTGTGTTGGAAAACGTCAGAGTCTTTCATTGTCTTTACTAGTATCATTATTTAGAAGTAATTGAAATGTTTCTAATCAACTTTAAAAATAAATAGAAAAGGGTTATTTCTCATTTTTGTTCCCTCAGATTCCTGGTAGAAGGCACCATGATAGAAAACCTTGTGGTGGTATTGTGTTCCCTGAAATATTGTGAACGTTAATAAACTTATCTGGGGTCAGAGAACAGAACAGCCACAATATTAAACATAGAGGATAGGCAGTGGTAGCACACACCTTTAATCCTAGCATTCCAGAGGCAGAGATCTACCTGGATCTCTGTGTGTTCAAGGATACAGCCAAGCATGGTGACTCAAGCCTTTAATCCCAGAAATTGAGCCTTTAATCCCAGGGAGTGATGGCAGAAAGCAGAAAGGTACATAAGGCGTGAAGACCAGAAACTAGAAGCTTTTAGCTGGTTAAGCATTCAGGCTTTCGAGAAGCAGTTCAGCTGAGATCCATTTGGATGAGGACTCAGAGGCTTCCAGTCTGAGGAAACAGGATCAGCTGAGGAACTGTCGAGGTGAGGAAGCTGTGGCTTGTTCTTCTCTGATATTTCAGCGTTGACCCCAATACCTGGCTCCAGGTTTGTTTTTTATTAAAGATTCTTTAAGATTCATGCTACAAAACCTTACTTTTCAGACCTCAGAAATCCAACCACTACCCCCTTCCCCTCTTCCCCAAATACATGAAATCTGAGACCGGGATCCCAGCAGTCCCTTTCCTTTCACCGGGTTGCAGAGACGGCATCCATCTTTCCTTGGCTGCACTGTGCTGTGGTGTGGAGGTGGAGACAGCAGCAGAGTTAGCCACTCAGCGGTACAGCAGCAAAAGAAGAAACAGTTCAGAGAGAAGCAGGGATTCTCTTCCTTGGTCATTGAAAACATTTAAGGTGGACTCCCGTTCTCCAGGGCCGGGATAGTAACACCCACCTGTGGAGATGCATTTACCTCCCAGCAAGTCACGGGTGTTGCTTCTCCACATACATGGGCTCTGCGTGGAGTGAAATGAAGGTTCCTTTCACATTCTGTCCACTGCTCCTGATACAGCACCTACGAAAGTTCAAATTGGCCTTGCACCGTGAGCTACATTCTAACTTCATATCAATCACTTCTAATTCAATCTCTAATGGACGCTTGCCCCTCCCTCCCATGTTTCCTTTCATAAAAAGACACAGTTCCTGCTTCTCACTTCATAAAAATGGCAAGAACAAGTTAACCTTTAGCTAATATGGATAAGAAAAGTTTAATATAAGTACAATGAAAACACAATTTTCCCACAATCTTAATTTTACAGTGAAATACAAAGCTCTTTAGGCTAGATAATTGTTAGTTTTTCTGGGGACTTACTGCATTACCCCACTTGGAAACCCATTAAGAATTAAAAGTAAACATGTCAAACAAGAACTCTTCCCTAATTAATACTAAGCCATATGCGAAAACATTCTTGAGTACCAGGCTTAGTAGTATTATGTATTATACTGTCCCTGCTTGTAAAGAGTCAAATGTTTCTTCAAATGAGAATGTAGACCACTAAAGATAGCCAAGGTTGCACAGTTTAGCCATCCATTTCACATACCACAAAGCAAGGCTGATACCTCCATCCTAAAGATCAATTAAGCCTAGCTATCTTCCTGTGAGAGCACTGATAAAAAGCATATTGATTAACAGAGATGTTCAGGAGTGTATGTCATCTAAAGAGAGGCACCTGAGGTCAGAGTTCAGTTCTCCAGTATGATTCCTGGCTCCCTGTTCTAAATACTATATCACAGGGAGATGGAAGAAATGTCACACAATGCTTTACAAATCTCTGGAAGTTAATGCTGGTGTTTGGGCGGCGGGGTAGAAACTAAAGCCAATCACAAATACATAAAACCCAACTAACCACTCTGATCTCTACAGCTCGTATACAACTTTTACCCAAATATTAGTAGTTTTCCTAGAACTAAACCAAAAGTTTTCCAAGAAACAGGACCTACCTGACTAGAACATCCAAGCAATCGGAGTGCAGAATACCATAGCAACCGGAGGGGATGTGGGTGCTACCCAGATGTGCTCCCTCTGCCAGAGTCTCTGTCCAGCCACATAAGTTCTTTGGACAGAAGGTAGGCAGTTTTCAGGGACTCTAAGCATGGCTTTCTGCTGTGACATTGTTCATATTCTTCCTACATCGGTCACATTTGGTGACATGGTATCAGATGAATTTGAAAAGGACAAAGAACATAAAGTCATCCAGAAGTTCACAGAGAATCAACTCCTGTGGCAGAAATAGCACACTGGTAACAAGTAACAATCAGGGAGCTCCCTCTTCACTCTGCATCATCTCACAAGACAGTGTTACCATGTGGAGGATTCAGGGAGCTCCTTCTTCACCCCCAACATCTCACAAGACAGTGTTACCATGTGGAGGATTC